AGTGTGGGGAAGAATTAGTACCTCTTTTTGGTTTTTACTATAGGTTTCATGGCCGCCTATTGATCTGGTTCTTGATTTGTTTTTGGTGATGCCACGTGGCTGGAAAAAGCAGCATAGTGCTACAATTATCACATCAATGAGCTGACAGCAGTACTGGTCCTTGTTTAGTCAGAGCAGACAATGCACACCGACGCTGCAGAAGATGTTCTTACAACCAGATGTGGGTGGATGTCCGAAGACCCTTTTGGCTTTTACAGACCAGCCCAACCAAGATTTTTATAAAATGTAAAATGTACTTTCTCCTAAAACACCATGTAATTGCAACATTTGTTTTTCAATAAATAATATTTATTTCATATTTTTTTTTATAGATTGTAAGCTCCCACGGGCAGGGCCCTCCTTACCATCTTCTCTTGATTTGTATTGTAATGTCTTCCTTATATTGAAAACATAAAACTGTTGGCACTATATAAATTTACGGCTGGCTCCGGCCACTTGCAGAGAGAACAGCGTCCCTGGTTAACAGCTAACCAGGGACACTGATCTCCAAACAGCCTAACTCTCCCTGGCGCTTCGGGAGTCTCCCGCTCCCGGCCGCCAAGGAGAGAAACACTGCTGTTTCTTTTTCTTTTTCTGTCAGAATAGAAGAAAATATAATTTGGCCATAGGAATGCATTGCTAGATTCCTATTGGCTATTTCAATTTGCAATAGCCAATAGCAAACTAGCATTGCACCCACCCTGGCAATGCATTCCTATGGCCAACATTTATTTATTTGTTTCTATTCTGAAACGGCTCCGTGTCAGAATAAAAAAAAAAAGAAAAAGCAGTGTTTCTCTCCTTGGCGGCCGGGAGAGGGAGACTCCTGGAGCGCCCAGGATAGTTTTTTTTTCTATTTTTGGACGGCAGCAGAACCGCCGGCCAATAGAAAACAGTTGGGCAGAGCTAGCTGTCATTGCTACCTCCGCACAATCGTTTTCTATTTATTTTTTTCTACTTTTTTAACAATTTTTCTGTTATTCTCGGTACCACAGAGGGACCGAGCAGAACAGCTGAGCCGAATGCCGCTCAGCATTCAGCCGTACCATCCTGAAGTGAATAGCCGAACATGTTCGGCTTACTTCGCTTTAGGTCGGTCATTCACTGGGCTGCCTACGGCAGCTTATTGAATAGACCCTTTTGGGTGAGTACCCAAATGCTCCGATACCTTCCCCAATCACGGAACGTCCTCTGACCAGCAGTGCCGTTGGGTAACATGGACCCGGCTTCCTGGGCAATCAGAAAGCCAGGGGGCAAGTAATGATGCGCCTCCCGACTTCCTGAGTGGCTGGAAAGCCAGCTCCTTGCTGATTGGCTCGGAAACCGGCTTTCCAGCAAATAAGCATGGAGCTGGCTTCCCGGCCAATCAGGAAGTCGGGAGGCAGGTTAGTTCTCGTCGCCCAGCTTCCAGATTGGCTGGGAAGCTGGTTTCTTGACCAATCATAATCGAGCCAGCCACACAAGGAGCCGGTTTCCCAGGCAATCAGGAAGCCAGCTCTATGCCAGCGGAGGCACTAGTATCGGTACCAGTGAGTACCGAAAGCAAAATATCAGTACTCTTACTCGATACCGAAAAACCAGTATCGGTGCATCCCTAATTATTATTATTATTTCAGTACTGCTGAACTCCTGCAGCCTTCTTGCAGTCACTTTCCTGGTTTAGACAACATTGGAGCATATCTGCATAATGTGAGTTGAAAAGACTGCTTGTGGTCCCCATCAGAAGACGTAAGAGCACAGTTGGGAGACGGGGACAGAGCGTTGTCACCCTATAATAGAAAGTGCCTGAATAGAGGCCCCCATGACAGGATCACCAGGCATTAATTTAATAAAAGTTGCAGATTTTAAAAGACTAAATACAACTTTGGAGATTATATTAGCATGTTAAAGAGGAACTCCAGGTATACAAAAAAGTTTACCCTGCTGCTTCTTCTCTAGGGGCTGGAATAAAGACGATATGCTCACCTCTCTCTCCCTCTGCTCCAGCTGTGGCATGCTTCTCAGTGTCCTCATGTCTAATACAAGTGAATGGACTGCATTAGACATGATGACGTCAGCTGGACTTAGACCACTGGAGCCCAAGGGAGAAGAGTTTAGCAGCCAGGCAGCATAGAGGATCAGGTATGTATTTTTCTTTTATTTGAGCCCCTAGAGAAAAAGGAGCAGCTAACTAGTGCAGTGCGGGGGTAGCCCTACTGCGCGGGCTAACCTTTTACATTCCTAGAGTTCCTCTTAAAATCCTTTATGCGATTTTAGTGATTTTGTTTACATATACGTCAAGTTTTTGAATCATGAAAAAGAGTAAACCACCTAAAAATTTCTTATAACATACATGTGCATTCGTGACTACATATCTCCAATGTCCAATGATCATCAAGTGCTAGTACAAGGCATCCTGATGAGTATATCACATACACACAGATTATCCTTCACAGGCGAACAAGACTAAAGGAGTGGTCATACATAAGTCCTATTTTTTAAACTCTTTTATATGTGCTTGAAAGGAAGCACCAGATACAATCCTGCTCCAAACTGAGGACTGTATATTTCATCCCGATCATAAAATACGGGCCACAATGTGGAACCTGCCGCGTCTAATGGAGTTTTTCATTCATGTGAATAATGTTGCGGCGGTATGGCCACTGTCCGCTGCTTTATAAGTGGGACCACAAGGGATGATTTCCGACACTACACCCTAGTTATGTTCTATGGCCAGTCTCGATGCTAATTGTTGGCTGCTTTTATTAGACCTATTTACCAAAAAATAAAATTGATCTTGGACTCTTACATCTGTTTTTTGTCTTGCGCTTCTTTTTGTATTCCTATAGTTTGAGCAAATATTGCCCAGCGCAGTTGTTGTTTTAAGCTGATCTCCATTCAAATACCTAAATAGCCGAACATTCACATATGTACACTACCTAGTCAAGGATGTGTAATTCTATCCAGCCAGTCCCACTTGCCCAAAAACACAACATCTTACCTGTCTTCACTTTTCTCTACTACATTTAGGAAATATGGCTTGGTCTAGGACACCATGTGCAGGTAATGGACAGTGGAGAAGCAATAGGAAAATCAATGGGGTTGATTGACTCAAGGCAAATAAGCTATTCACTTTGCAAGAGAATGTTCTCTTAGATTAATGATTGAGGTGAACATTAACTTTGCAAAGAATAACCAATTATGTGCAAGGAATATACATAAGAAAACAGTATTTTTGCTGGAGAAGCAATAGGAAACTCAATGGGGGTTGATTGACCAAAGGCAAATAAGCTATTCACTTTGCAAGAGAATGTTCTCTTAGTTTAGTGAATGAGGTGAACATTAATTTTGCAAAGAATACCCAATTATGTGCAAGGAATATAAATAAGAAAACAGTATTTTTGCTTGCACTTGGTTGGATGATGGACGTCAGCAGAGCTGCACCTCAATTACTAAGCTAAGTGGAAATTCCCCTTGCAAGGTGAACAGCCTACTTGCCTATTGTAAATTAACTCCATAAGGTCATTCCTGTGCGCTCCCTCCTGTAAGCTTGTGCAAAGCTGTTTTTTGGGTCAGACTGCTTACCCTCCTCTTCCAGTGTAAGTATTTCTGTGTAAATAAGTAATGGGAGCTAATACATAGAGATAATCATCTGTACTTAAAAATACATATTTGTCTAAAGAATAAACAACTGGACTAAACAGTGTTTGGAATTTAGTTTCAAGCTTCCTTCTGCCTAGTGTGGCAAATAACAGAGAAGAACTGGCTGCATGGTAACATTTGATAAATGTCAAATGCCTCATTATCTATGCCGAGATGAGAGTATTTACATACAAATTGCCATATATTATTAGCCACTCTTTTACATACAGTGACTTTTCTGGTTTAGCTTTCCAGGCTCTTAATTCAAAGGAGTGAAAATAATTATTATTTTACTTGGCTTTTCTCCATTAAAACATCTCCTTTAAATGTACGTAATGAAAGCTTGGTACTAAAGGAGCTGGCTGCAAAAAATCCTGCACGGAGCTTTCATGGTAACGATTAGGAAGTGCAGAGTCCGCAGGAGAACCCCATGAGACCGCTGGCTGTCAGTCAGCACTCTGCCGCATTCAGTCACACATAGTAATAAGACTTTGTGATTGAAAGCTCCGAATTCCAAGAACGTCAGCCGCTACACTTACTGCAATGAATTTCATCACTGGAAAGGTGGCCAGCATAACTTATTCATTCCATTGGAGGGCCTCCAGTATGGCTCAGTTTAATAAGAGGGGACCTAGAATGGATTATTCCCGATTTCATTGCACACGGAAATTAAACAGATTCGGGGATGACCTTTCCATGAGAAAGATATGTCAAAGGAGGTCAAATGGTCATCTCACTCCTGAAGAATTAGAACTGTATCCACGTATGTTTATAGTATCTGATGTCTATCTATCTATCTATCTATCTATCTATCTATCTATCTATCTATCTATCTATCTATCTATCTATCTATCTCTTTATCCATATATTAAATATCCATCTACATACCATCTATCTGCTTTATAATGGTAAAGTGAGATTGTTAGGTAAAGGGTATGTATGTATGGTCGTAGTATCTGATGGCTTTCTATCTATCTATCTATCTATCTATCTATCTATCTATCTATCTATCTATCTATCTATCTATCTATCTATCTATCTATCCCTTTATCCATCTATTATCTATCCATCTACATACCACCTCCATACCATACCATAGCATTGTTTATAAAGAAATTACTGTTATCTTACAATATTTCCCATCTGTATATGATACCTCATACATATTTTTATATCTATCATTTGACATCTGTCAATCTTCCTTCTTCTCTTATATATTTCAGCCTTTTTTCTCTCAGGTTTTTTTTTTTATTTTTGCTTTTATTTAATCATTTACCAGTTACATTACATTAGACCATAGGGAGAAATTGTTAACTTTGTTGTCTTGTTCCACCACTTACCCAAATTCTCAATGGAATAATATCGCTGCTTGCTGTCTACCCGCACCGTCTCAGCATAAGGGCTCCCGACGCCGTAGCCAATGATGTACCCCCGCACCACGATGTTGGGGTTCAGTGGTGGTGTCCAACTCATAATGATGCTGGTAGTGAGTGGTCTGACATGAAGAGAACTGGGCTGGTCTGGCACCTGGGATTCTACAAGTCAAACAAAAAAGAGCATTACAATTCTGTTGACTTTCCTCCTACTAGCCCACAGCCTGACTATTATGTTTTGATCATTTTCAGAATGTTGGATGTTGTGTTATGAATAGATAATCCCGACTCAGGGACCTGAAGCTTCTAACTACTTGGAAGCCAGAAAAACAGATATGAGTGTTATAGCACATGAAATGAATGTTATGATTAATGCAAAATATTGTTGTATTTATTGGTAACCAAGTGTGATATCCACACGGAGCAACAAAACATATTCTCACAAACCTCATTACACATCATATTTAATTTACTGATGTTCCTGGGAGTTCCCAAAGCCCTCTTCTTTAAAATATCTGAGTAAATATTGAGCATTATTTTTAGCATCTAGGCATTTTGAAGCTTACAAAGCAAATAACTCCACAAAAATAATGAAATCCACAGTCGCACTTAAAGATTTTTAATTTTAGGCAAATGCAGTGTTATGTTTTGTTTTCCTAAGACACCTCTGTAAAAATAAAAATGCAGCACAGAAAGTATATTATATTACCAAGGAATAGGAAACAAGGGAAAGAAGCTTAATTAATTGTATCACTTAGGTTTATATTTCCTTCCTTTATTAGAATTGCAGTTGCCTCCAATACTATAACAGGCTTTTATTTGTTATATTGTATATTGTTGAATAGCTTGCTGATGGCCAATGTTTGTCCCCTGGTTGCTGACTACTAATGATAAACCCTAACAGGAGGTTAAATAGTTCTATCTACAAAAAGTTCTATTCATTGAAAAATGATAGGCACATTTATATTGCTGCATGCTAAAAGGGAGCCGTAAAGGTGATAAAAGTTAAATTATTGATTAGTATGAAACATTTGTAGTTGGATTACAGGAAATCAATTCATAATGAAAATTTCAGAATGTTTATATGAACAGAGGTGAGGAAATCAGTTTGCCCTAGCGAAGCATTGGACAGGATCCGGTACACTTATAGATATTTCCATGATAAAGAAGACATCCCCATTAAGTGATGAAAATACTTTAAAACACACACACATACATAT